GATGGATGGATGGATGGATGGATGGATGGATGGATGGATGGATGGATAGATAGAATACTTTATTGGCCAAGTGTGATTGGACACACAAAGAATTTGTCTTGGTGTAAATACTCTCAGTATACATAAAAGAAAAGATACATTCTTCAGGAGTCGAGAATCATAAAGTACAACACTTAATGATAGTCATAGGCTACAATCAACAATCAAATCATACTAGGAAACAGAAGTCCAGAATATGGTAGATAGCAGATTGAGGAAAAAGCTATTTGGGAAAAAAAAGTCCTCCAGAAAATATCCTTAGGGTGATGAAACCTTAGCACAGATGCTGATTCTAAAGGATGAAAACAATCTATAATATTTTATCACTTTGATGTGTAATCTAGAGATCTGGATCAGAAGGAAATTCACTGAACTCTCTTAGCAGGATTGATTGGCAGGATGGTTCTATATCGGAAATTCAGAGCTAGATCTGGTTCTTTTACAAGCATTGCAAACTTAGATCAGCCCCCATGCCATTTCTAGCAAGTTCAGTTTTTTTTTTCTTTTAATTTTATCTTTCTGAGAATGGAAATGGGACAAACTTTTCTGGATGCCTCCAAGATCTTGCCTCCCCCTTCCATTTTCTGCTTGTCTCGAACATCTACTTCTGTTAATCTAAAAATATGTTTTCTGGGGCGGGGATTGTACATATATGTACACAATATGAATATAGTAAATGATTTGGTGGGGGGCATATGGCATAGAACTCGAAGTCCTTTGCTTGGCTCCTTGTTCAACAGTCTTCATTCTTCTTTTAGTTTTTCCCTGACAAAGAATTCATTGTCATCCCTTTCAGTCTGTCCTTGTCACACCATTACATTCTGCAAACTTGCAAGTGTGCTGCCCAGAATAAATTATGTTAATTAAATATTTGTATAAACTTGGGGTTAAAAAAAAAAACCCAGCAAAACATTCTCTCAGGCATTTGAACCTAAATATGACCAGCTCTTCCTTTCATTTTGTTTACTTTGTCCTGCCAGGTTTAACTTGAAGAATTCAACCAGGGAAGAGCAGATGGTAAGAGTTACCTCATGTTGCCTACTTCTATCCATTTTGCCCTGCTGTGATGGATGAATGGAAGCCTAACCCACAACCCAAGCCGTGGAAGAAACGCAGCTGGTACCTGGCCTGGAAGTACAAGTTGACAAATCAGAGGGCACTCAGAAGATTGTGCCAGGTGAAAAGATGCCCTATTCCTCCTCCTCCTGTTTAGATAATTTGGTAATGGGGAACATTATATCTGATAAAGTGCTTAGCAAAGGTCTTTGGCTTTATATACTTCTGGATTATAGTGTTTAAAGGAACAGTAATCCTTGAAATGGAATCACGTGGAGGTGATATTCTTTATATAGCCTCAAGAGCCTATTTACACAAATGGATGCACTGCTTTGGAAAGACAGGATGGTGTAGGATTTTGCAAGCTAGCAGATCTATTATAATTCAAGCTGTTCTTCAGGCAAGAGTGCAGGCCGTGAAAGCTCATGTTACAGTAAGAATTACTCAGCATAATACATTAAGACATTTGTGTCTCTTTAATGTGTCAAACAAGGTCATGTGATCTCCTAAATTTGTTTCTTTTGGAGGTTCATCTACTTTTTTTCTGTTTAGTTTATTTTTCTGCCTGAAGGCCAATTGCATGCACTTTGCATTAAATATATAAAAAGCTGTAATAAAGGGTTTTTGAACCATTTCCGGACTGATACATCTGATAATTACAAATTCATAAATTGTATCCTATTTTGATTGTATGAGTGCATGTTTTGAAAAGAAGTGGTTCAGAGCTTACACAAAAACAGAAATCTGTACTGTAAATTAAACTATCCATCTTACATAAGATGACCAGCTGGGCAGAGTACAATAAAAATCAAGAATTAGAACATATAATAAAACCATTTAAAATACTTATATAATCAAACACAAATAAGATCACAAGAAAGTTAGAATCAGAATGTTCCACATGGTTCAGTTTACCCTGGTACCAAGAGATTCCCAGACTCATGGGGGGGAAAAAAACATGTTTTGAGGCCTCTTCCAGAAGACCAAAAGGATTAGAACCAACTTCACTTCAGGGGAAATGAAGATCCTTTTGTAACATAGTAATTTGTTTCCCACTTGCTACAAATCCTGTTTTGGGGTGGTGATTTCTAAATGCACTGGACTGTAAATTCTCCTCCAGCATTTTCAGAATAGTAGTACTACATTGGGGATAATGTGCTAGTATTTTAAATCCAGAACAAGTAAGGTTGCCTTAAGAGGAGATCTGTGCTTCACAGAAGCTTCCTAGCTTGCAGCTAGACAGAACTTTTTTGTAGATTCATTGAAACTCACTGATGCTACAATGTATCCAGTGTCTATTGTCTGTCTGAACATAGAATTTTCTTTGCCTTCACCTTTACATGTGATTTATCTGTCTGTATTGATACATCTAAAACTCACTTGCATTGCTTTTATGGTTTTAACCAAACAGTTGAATGGGTCTGTTACAGATTGTAATGCACACATTGTAATGTTGTATGCGTAATCAAGCCAATTATGCCTTATTCAGAAGCGATAGTTAAGTTTGTGCTGCATCTGAAAGGATATTGGAAGCCAGAAATAATTAGAGTGTTCTTTGTTCTTTTCCTTTTTGCAAAGCAACTTGGTACTCAGGTACTTTTGCTGACAAGGAATAGGATGGGCAAAAGCTCCTGCTGAGGACCCTGTTAATGCTTGCATTGGATGTGGGACGATAATTAGTTCATTTAAACAGATTCATATAACAGAATAACAGAATTGGAAGAGACCTCAGAGGCCTTCTAGTCCAGGGGTTCCCAACCAGCAACGAGGCCATGCAAACAAGCAAACACAAGAGATACAAACTCAATGTAAACCACTTCAAACTCGATTGCAGAAAGTACGACTTCAGCAACAGAGTGGTCAATGCCTGGAATGCACTACCTGACTCTGTTGTTACATCCTCTAACCCACCAATCCTTTAACCTTAAACTATCCACTGTTGACCTCACCCCTTTCCTAAGAGGTCTGTAAGGGGCGTGAATAAGTGCACCATCATGCCTACTGTCCCTGTCATATTGCCCCCATTTATTCGTACCTATTTCCTGTATTCTTACTCATGTTTATACTTATACCTATTATCTTGTAAGTGATTGACAAATCAAATAAATAAATAAATAAAAAGCCCCATGCGCAGCCCCCTTCTTGTCTGTGGAAAAACCTTTCTCCACGGAACGAGTCCCTGGTGCCCAAAAGGCCACTGTTCTGGTCCAATCCGCTCCTCTAGCAGGGCAACCATATATCTTGATTTCTCCTTTTTGTCAGGTTATATACAAGTACATCAAAGTTGTAGTACTGGCCGAGGGAAGAGCAGCAGTTCATAATTTAACCACTAAGAACAATTAAATCAGGGGTTTTCAAACTTGACAGCTTTAAGACTTGTGGACTTCAACTCCCAGAATTCCTCCTCCAGTCATGTTAGCTCAGGAATTCTGGGAGCTGAAGTCCACAAGTCTCAAACTTGCCAAGTTTGAAGACCCTTGAATTAAAGCCTTCATTAATTGATTTATCCAGTTGAAATCCTGATAGTGGACTTGCATTGAGATACAGTAAATCATTGGCATCATTTCTGATACAAAACTCTATGGCTACTGTCTGGTTTAGGTTTGGGGTTTTTTTTTTAAGTAATGTGCATTGGGCAGATTTATGAGGAAGGGCTATGATTTTTCAAGGAAAGGCTAAGGTTTTATAAAGTAAAAAAATTCCTTCCTTCCTTCCTTACTTATTTACTTACCTAAATACATTCTAATATGCATGCAATCCATATATTGATACTTCAAGATAAATGCACACATGAACTTGACAAACTTTCAGCTCCATGTTAGTTGTGATTGCCATGATCAAAATCCACTGTGGACTAATAGGCATTTTTTCCTGTGATGCTAGGTAGGTTGCAGACATGCCAGTTGTTCCGTATGAAAACAAAATGTGTTCACCCAAAGACCCCAAAAATGATTTGAAGTGAACTGGGGAAATCTAGGTTTCTCTTACACCCTCAACCTATTATATAACCAAATCACTTTTCCTTATGTAGTCTGCTGTGGGCCTCCCAAATCCAAGTCATTAAACATTTGTAGGAGAACATAGAATGGAAAATGGCTTTCTGAAATGCAGTTCCCAATTCTGTTTTGGATTTACTGCTGATGATTTGTGACTAATAATGGATTTCTTAGACATTTTATCTTCCTAAACAAAGGGGATAAATTTATCCTACTACATTTTAGAGACTGACAGTGCAGCAGTCAGGAAGGTATGACAAATGTATTGCAATATCTTGTTTGGATCCCAGTGTCTTAAAATAGCAAATTTAATACAAAGCTGTCAGTGCTGCAGGAGATCCTGACTCCATAGCTATATGTGGCCAGGTTCCCATAGAAACCTATATGCTCTTTGTGCCTTCATCACCAGAAACTTAATCATTATAGTACCATACAATATGTTGTGCAAATGTGACATATTCTGCACATAGCATTTTGTTACCATATAATGAGAGCAAGAGTGATATTCTTTTCCTGTTGATATAAATTAAGTACAAGAGAAGTTGGTTTCTTGTGGGAAGATTTTGTGCCCAATAGGAAATTAGGAAAATTTGAACATATGTAAGCATATGAATTGTAGGACATGTAGTTAAATGATTTTAGAATTTCTTGTTGGGGAAAATATTGTAATAGAATGAAGAAACAGTTCATATTTTTCAATATAATGCTCAAATGCTTTATTTCTCAATTTTGAAGCCCATTTTATTTATAAATTTTATTTGATCTTGTATTTTCATATTTTTATTAACACCTTTGTCTTATTTTTAACTTTAAAATGGAAAGCATTCCCATGAAGGTCTGATCCATTTGGCTACCTTAATTCAAGTTTATACAAAAGAATTTTCACCAAAAATAAGCATAGTAAAAATAAAAGTTAACTTTGTCCGTTTTTTAAAAAAATTCTTAAATCATTTGTTGGTTAAATTTTGTGCCAACGTTTCCTGAATCTCTGAACCTTAATCTCTTTTTTATTTTTGTAATACAGAGGAAAAAAAGTCACACTGACTTGGGGGGAGTGTTGTTGAAAAGGAAATCTCTACCTGTAGATTAGTTATATTCAAAGGTGGCTAATAAATGAGCACGGGTGGATTTAATATCCATATAGGCAATTGTGAATGAGGATGGAATACCACAACTCCTAATTGGCTCAGGAGCTGATTGCAAAAGCTTTTGTTCAGGCAGCTTAGTCTTGAGGAGCAGCTGTCTGGAGTAAATATGGGCTTATCTCACAATCTTTTCTTGATCCGAAGAGATTTTACTGGCCAGTCTCTGCCCTTAGGTCAGATTCTCAGCTTCAGTGTTGTCCCCGCTCCTTCAGAAATGTCCAAGTTGACTTTAATCCCCATCAGAGATCACTATTGAAATACACTGGATGTCTCTAAATCTTTTTGATTTCCAGCTATATTTTAGATGTGATGTGAATCCTGACCCACAGATAAAGATTAATGATTAAGTCCTAAGATTGTTGATGTGAAATCTGAGGGTACAGACAGAAACACAGGGAAGTTAAAAAAAAATACATTACATAGTATCCAATGAAAATCTATTCATACCTGCACTACAACCACCTAGGGAAACAAAAGCTTCTAATCCATAGTGATGGGACAGAATTTTGGTGCAATTACAGAGACTTTCTAATGCTGATCATTTGGCAAGTAGTGTACAATTACCGTATGTGTGTGAGCTATATTATGCTATAGCATAAAATTATGTTCCGAAAAAAAATATTTTATGTTTGATGCTCAAGACTCTGCCTTTATTTGTGCTTATTTGTGCTTGTCAGTTTGTCATCCACGCATTGCCATGCATTACATTCTCAAGATTTAAAGTCAATCCACAGACCACAAAAGCTAGGGACTGCTGCTCTACTTTTACGGCTGTTGTCGTGAAAGAGAACAACCATGAAGATAGACTGAACAATAAGAGGCATTCTGATTTTATAAGCAAAATTCAGTGAACTTTATTTGGGAGTTTTCTCTGAGATAGAAAGCATAAATGATACTCATTTTGTACAGACAGCTCTCTTCTCTGAGACTATGCCTTCATATTACCCAGCCTTTTGTTTCATGGATTGTGCATGCTCCACTAAGAAAATCTTACTGCAGTTTGCACCTTTGCTGTGACTCCATGTTCCTATCAAGTAGCTTGTTTTCACTACTCTAAAATTTGTTCATAATTTGTCAGGGAAGGCAGCCTTTTTGAACCTGTTGTGGTAAAAAGAATTCTTCAGACAGCAAAGACCATGTGGGATGGCAGTTCTGAGAGTTGTACTTTAAGCATCAGATGCCAAGGTCTCAGAGTCATCTAAAAGCATGGTGGGGAGAGGTCAGAATTATATTTTAAGTGTTGTATTTTAAGGGTGATACTAAACACAGATGAATGTATGACATGACCGGCTATTGTCACAACTATTATTAAGGGACGTGAATGCAGTCCACTTAAAGAGCTGTATGCCACTTATTTATTTCCATTAATAAATGATGGAAAACATTCCATATTTATGTCAAATGCCACTTAATCCAAAAATTGATTTCCATAATCAAAAGTCAGCAATTCAGTTTTAAGGAATAAACAGCTACTGTAGAAATCTGGATGTAACCTGCAGGACATTCAGTATTTTCCTCTATTTCATCCTTATACATGATCACGGAAGTACATGATACACAGTGATAGAAAGGCCTGCCAGTATGTAAAATGAGACTTTTTTAAAAGAAAAAAAAAAAGGGATAAGTGGAAGCAGGAACTAAAATTCATCCCTAAAGAACAATGGGAGACTTTTTACAAGTCCAAAAACTCTTGTCACTAACTTTTCCAGTGCTATGTCTTTCCTGTTATGTCTAGGATAAAAATCTGTGTTTTCGCCATGAAGGTGTTTCAAGCATCAGGTTTTCCAAATGTATTTTTCCTAATCTAATAATGGAGACTTTTGCCTTACAGATGGGAGCCGTCCTTTTCTTGCTGGTAACTGTTATTGTGAACATAAAGTTGATCTTGGACACTAGAAGAGCAGCCAGTGAAGAAGAAGAATCAGCTCAGGATTATGGTGAGCAGGAAATGTGATTAGATGGTGGTATTAGAATGTACTGTATGGTTGGTAGTCACGTTCTGGGAGAAAAAGAATGTTCTAGGGAATGTAGACTGCTCTGTGATTGGAAAATGGAATTTTCCATGCAACATTACTGATTAGTAAATCCCATCCCATATTCCTACTTATAGGAGCATTGAACATGGTCTAAATTCTTGATAGTTTTGCTTGCAAAATAGTTTTCGATAGTTTAGAGAAAGACATGATTTCTTAATATATATAACAATGGACTGGTAATACCTTCCAGACCTTGTTTAATTTTCAGGTAAAATTAAGCAAGTAGGTTGCCGTGGTTTATATTCTGACTTCTGTCAGAAAATATGGCCAGCAGAAAATTGATTTAAGTGTCAAAGGGAAGCAGAACTGGAAGCAGTTTGGATTTCTTGTATTTACAAATGAAAACCAAGTAATTTAAACTAGTTTTACCAGGTAATCATTACACCTAAAATTTTAAAATCAAGTAACAACTCTGTTGAAGTCTTTAATCTTATGCTGCAGGCTGTTAAAAGCTAAATGGAAGGAAAACGTTAGTTTGCTTTTTAAATAGACAACATGATGTCCTTTGGAGATAATGCCACCTGCTTCCACGTCAAATGTTCTATTTGTGCTTTCATGAGTCAACCTCACCATACTTGTTGGTATACAGCTAGTCCTTGTTCGGTGTCTACATTGGGACTGACAACTCTGTCAGTAAGCAAAGCAGTCACTAAGTCATATCCCAATTATGCTTACAATCTTACGTCAGCTTTCCTTTCCTTTACAAATCTGAGAAGCTCGTAAATGTGAGGTGTGATCACAAAGGTATTTTTCGTTACTGTCATAACAGTGAATGGTCGCTATTGGAAGTAGTTGCTAAATGAAGACCATCTGTATACAGAAGGCCTTTCATAATGTTCATAATCTAAGGGGAAATTACCAGAGGATAAAGAACAATAAACTTATGGCCATAAGAATGTAAAATATGGTGCTTTCTCTCATTTCCTAGATGAAGGTTTGCAGAAGCTAGAGATCCCTCGGCGGCCTATCAATAGCAGAAAAGTTCTGGACATTGAGGTCTATTCCAGTCGCTCCAAGGTTTATGTTGCCGTTGATGGGACCACGGTGAGAATCTGCACTGCAGCTGTAAGATGCAAGAATCAGGGCAATAATAAATTCTCACATGGTTTACTATGGAGGAGAGCAGGGTGCTTCTTGAATTGGGCAGTCTCTTCCTGCATTATTTGACCGTGTGTGTGTGTGTGTGTGTGTGTGTGCGTGCGTGCGTGTGTATTCAGGCTTTCAGTTTTATTGTGTCCTATTAGGCCAGCTAGTACATTTAGTAACTTTAAAATATATGATACTCAGTTTGTGTCTTTGGATGGTCTTTTATTTTTTAATAAAATTTCTCAGTGGATGTATTCATGGTGATGGAACAAAGCAATGTTTTTTAAAGAGCAGTCTGTTCATTAATACAAAGTGAGCACATTTTCTGATTACAGTTTACAAGAATGGTGGTTTTGTAAGGAATCCAGGAGAGTTATGGTGTGTTTTACCTTTGTGTTTGCATACCCACATATAGAGATATGCCTATCATGAAACAATTTCATGAGCTGCTTTCACTTTATAATCAGTGGTAGGATTCAAAAATTTTTTGCTGCCGGTTCTGTGGGCGTGGCTTGGTGGGTGTGGCAGGGAAGGATACTATAAAATCTCCCGTTACAGGTGTTTATTTGCCAGTTCTCTGAACTACTCAAAATTTCTGCTACCGGTTCTTCAGAACTGGTCAGAACCTGCTGAATACCACTGCTTATAATGTTTTTATATCTCACCTTCCAACTTATTAGTATAACTCTTTCCAATGTGCTGGATTATGTTCTGAATAAAGAGCACAACTAAATTGCATAAGCTAGTTCAGAGGCATTCTAGGTTACAAAACATCACTGTAGAATATTTCTGGAAGAAATTGATATACAAGAAACAAGGGAGGACTAATAAGCGTAACAGGTGTGAAAAGGATAGTTTGATAACAATTTATTTTGTTACTGTACAGGTTTTAGAAGACGAAGCGCGGGAACAAGGCAGAGGCATCCATGTCATTGTGTTAAATCAGGCCACAGTAAGTGATGAAGAGCATAATCTGACCTAAATGAGGTCAATATGCTCCCTTTTTCCTGACAAAAAGACAACGTGCAATTCCTTACATTTCCACAAAACTATTATTCAGCCATCACTGAAGTCCCAAACAGCTGTATTTTGGAGTAGATTTTTTTTGATCAGCGTTCTGGGTTTTTGGTCAGAGTTGTACAAAAGTCTTTTAAACTCCACTGGAGGTTTTGCCAAGTTTCTAGACCTCTAGCACTATGTCAGGCCTGTGTTGCCCAGTACTAAAGCTAAGTTTAAAAGGAAGTCTAGATAATAAACGCAATTTTTGGGTTACAAACACATTTGAAGTTAGGATGCCCCCCCCCACACCCTCCAAAAGGTACTTAAGACTTGGATTTCAATGGCTGGCGGGGGCGATCGGTCATGTGACCATATTTTGGACACTCGACAACTGGCCTGCATTTATGGCTGGGTCATACAGGGTCATACAGGTTTTTTACAGGGTCCTCCATGTGATCACAGTTTAGAATGTCAGTTCATCTAACAACAACTGCAAAAAAGGTCATAAAATCAGATGTCACATGGTGGCCCACTTAACAACTGGAATGACGTAAGACCATAATTGCAAGCTCATTTATGGTTGTAAGTGAAGGACTACCTACATGCTACCCTCCCTGAATTACACCAGACTTCATCCAATTCAATGGGCTTACAATGGTGATGACACTTCCCAACTGGCTATACTAAAAAGGTGCTCACCATTCTGTATTTCCAGTTAAGTTTCTTTACTAGGGGAAGGAATTTCTAAATGCCAATTTCCTCCCCTCCGACTTTCTCCAAGCCTGTAAGATGCATGGTTGGGAAGTCTTGTTTTTATAGCCAGTGGACCTTCCCTGGCATTGAGCTCTCCACAGCTGCCTGAATGTGACAGTTCATTTTCTTTAAGAAAATGAACTGGGATAATACATGCTAGAATACAATGTTATAATGGGGAGGAGAGGACAGAAATATTTCCTTATTTGGATTCATTTGGAAAAAACTGCCAGATGTTTTTAACATATTTCCTCTGTTGCAGACATAGAATTGTAAAGAGTTGGAAGGAGCCATAAAGGATCATCTGGTCCAGGGGTGTCAAACTCATGTCATCAAGTCACATGACGTAACGGGACTTTTTCCCCCTTCACTATACTGAGCATGGGCGTGGCCAGCATGTGATGCATCCAGGCCATGGGCCGGGAGTTTGACAGCCCTGATCTAGTCCTAACCTTTGCAATTATTAGGAAAGCCAGTTAAATCGTCCATGACAGGTGGCTGCTCAGTCTCTTCTTAAAAATCTCCATCAATAGAAAGTCCGCAACCTCTGTAGGTAGATTATTACATTACAGTGCAAATCAAGAAGTTTGTCTTTATATTTGAACAAAATCTGCTGCATATTGATGTCTCAACGTCAGTTCCAAAAAAAAACACTTGGCAGTCCCAATATATTTGGGAGATCACAGTTTGAGAAGAAGTGATCCAACTACAATTTTGGATTGTTTTGTAGGGCCATGTGATGGCAAAGCGGGTTTTTGACACCTATTCTCCCCATGAAGATGAGGCCATGGTCCTATTCCTCAACATGGTGGCCAAGGGTCGCGTCCTTATCTTCACAATTAAGGTAAGTTTAAATTGGTGTTGCAATTTTTTTTCCGGATAGCTGATATTTAACAGAAATTAAATTTCTTGTTTCACTTGAACACCATCTAATGAAGCTAGAAACACTTTGATAAGAGAAGAAAAGGGGATTGTGCCACTATTAAACATTAATTTTGGATTGTATCTGAAAATTTAATCTTGTTAATTTTATATTATAATTTTATAATAATCTTTCATTATTAAATCTTAAATTTAATCTTAAATTATTTAATCTTAAATTATATGACACACCAGAAAAGCAAAAAAAATAAGTGTTACTTTGACATCTTATTACAAGTTTAAAAATAATAATAATGAAGCTTTATAGCTTAAAACATGGGTCTCCAACCTAGGCAACTTTAAAACTTGTGGACTTCAACTCCCAGAAATCCTCAACCAGCAAAGCTGAAGAGACCCCTGGCTTAAAAGAACCGAGGCAGCATTGAATGATTCTTTAATGCTTAAAGAATATATAAGCCATGTATCTCTATTAATATTGTGGGATTTCTTCCTTTTCAGGATGAGGGCTCCTTCCACCTTAAAGACACAGCCAAGAGTCTCCTGAAGAGTTTAGGGAGCCAGATTGCAGCTTCCCTCAGCTGGCGAGACATGTGGACATTTGTGGGGAAGAAAGGAGGTCAGAATTGAGCAGGGGCAGAAATCTCCAGGGGAGAAAGGGACGCAGGAGAGGGCCCCTGGTGGGTTGTAACTTTTTCAAGGAGAAGTATATTAATCAGGCAAATATTTGGCTCTGCTCTAGCTGCTTGTTTTTTGTACATTCATGATATTGGAACTTCTCATCCCCACTAAATTGGAGCATAAGAAGCTGAGGATTTTTTCTGTTAATAATATGGGGGAAGGGCAAAGGCAACTGCAATGTTTCATATCTAAACCAATTTTCCCTCTTCTACAACAGTTGAGGGTGTCTTTATCTTCTCCTACTCTGAGTACCATAGAGCAGGGGTCTCCAACCTTGGCAACTTTAAGCCTGGTATAGACTTCAACTTCCAGAATTCCCCAGCCAGCAACTGGCTGGGGAATTCTGGGCATTGAAGTCTGCCAGGCTTAAAGTTGCCAAGGTTGGAGACCCCTGCCATAGAGGAATTTGTCAGAGTGTTTGCAGCATGACTACTATTTTGAGACAACCCAGCAGCACAACACAGCACACAGAGGCTTTGTCTTTTAACAGTGGTTTATATACAAGACGGCTATATACATAAATATACATGGTAGGCAAATACCTGGCAAGCAAGCAATCTTCTTTACTCTGCACAGAGAAACACAATGGAGATAGAACACCCCCTCATGGCCTCATATATATAGACAGCTTCTTAAAGTGGTAAAACCCTGTGGGACCCATCCTCAGTCTTAATAACCGTGCTGATTCATCCTCATAGCATCAGCCTTACAACAGCTGGTCAGCTACTAAATCTCAATACATTTGTTAATCTCTATTTTGCACTGTAAAAATGTCCAAAGGAGCCTAGTGAAAAAGTAAGATTACTGACTGATTGCTACATCAGGGATCAAATAGTAGACAAGCCAAAGTAATGAATGATTATTGGCTGCCTATTGACCATAATGTGTTGTGTTCTCTGTAGGTGAAGTCTATGGTGAGAAACATGCCAAGTCCGCACTGCTCTCCTCATGGGGAGAGCCAGTCTTACTGAAAACCGAAGTCCAATTAACCTCTGTGGAAGGTATGTCATTCATTCCCAAAAAGAGTAGAAGCCGCTACTCTTGAACAGCTCAAAAGCTAGGAAATCAGAAACCTGGCTGAGGTAAAGAATTGAGGAAGAAGACTAAAACTAGTAAAGTTTCTGCTGAAGAGGGATAACAATTGTCAAGTACTTTGTCTGTCACAAATATCAGAGATCTAAGCCAGGGATAGATTGAGTTCCTACTCAATATAATACAGGGTGATCCTCAGCTTACAAACATTCGCTTAACAACTATTTCAAAATTACAGTGGCACTAAAAAAGTTATTTGGGATCAGTCCTGACCCTTATGATTGTTGCAGCATCCCCAGGGGTGGGATTCTACTGGTTCGGACCGGTTCTATAGAACCGGTTGTTATGATTCTGCGCAGTTCGGAGAACTGGCAAATTGTTCCCCTGGCTGGCCCCGCCCCTCTCTGCCCGCCTTTCCCCTCCCTGCCCAGTCAGTCCTTATCATGCATATGCAACATTGCGTGCATGCCCAACATCGCTGACTGCATTCTTCACTCCCCAGTCACTCCTTAAAGTATTTCTTTTTGCCCCCCTCCCAACGATCAGCTGTTCCTATGATCAGCTATGCTGGAATTCCCCTTGATGTCTTACTGCTTCACCCAGGACACTTCCCTGAGGCCCAGAAGGCCCCCAAAACTTGGGTACCTATTTATGTTGGTTGCAGATTTCCGGGATCGTGTGATCACCAAATGCAAACTTCTCAGCCTGTTTCTGGTAGCAAAGTCCAATGGGGAGAAGCTGGATTTGTTTTACAATTGCAGCAACAACAACAACAAAAATTACAAAATCAGGCAGGATTCATTTAAGAATCATCTGACCTAGAGACAGGTGTTTCTGATCCCAATTGTGGTTGTAAGTCAATGACCCTCTGTATGTTGTTTTAGGTTTTCTCATTCTGATTTTCTACCGAATCCCAAAATGATTAGCTGGACTAGGGATAGGTTCAGAAATTGGCAGCTGCTATTATGCTGACTTACAGTGCTGTTCTCTTAGGTTTCTCCTTAAGCAAATCCAATGAAATTAAAAGCTTCCTTGAAGACAAGACCGTATTTTGTTATTCCATATTCAAAAGAGAGTTTCTTTAAAAAAATCATTTTCTGCTTGGTAGCCAGGCATTCTTTGTCATACAGATGTTTTGAATTTTCAGTCAAAATTCACTCAAAATTCTTTGATCATTAGTGATGATTTTTTTGCTGATGGGTATCATTGATTGAAACATCCTACAAATGTTCTGAGCTGACTGTAGCAGAACATAAGCTGATAAAAGGCTACCTATCTCAAAGCTCTCCTATATCTCAAGCTAATCATATGTATACATATGATGTATTCCACAGAGGCAGAATGCCATTGGCCAGATACTGAGTTGAATCGGCGGCGAAAGCGTTTTTGCAGCAAAGTCGAAGGTTATGGAAGTGTCTGCAGCTGTAAAGATCCTACACCTATAGAGTTCAATCCTGATCCAGTAAGTACAATAATGGCCTTCTTCACCAACTCTTTCTAGAAACAAAATTTCTATCTAATTACATACATTTAACTGACCTATCAAATGATTAATGTGAGATAGATAGATAGATTATCTATCTATCTATCTATCTATCTATCTATCTATCTATCTATCTATCTATCTATCTATCATCTATCTGGCAATAAAGTTTACCAGAATGTGTAGCTGGGAGTCAGATTTTTTTTTAAATGATCTTTTATATTCATCTGATTTTTGTATTTATCTTCATGACTTACTTATTTTTTACCTTTTCTGTCTTTTACTTTATTTCCAATCTCCTTCCTTCTTTGCCAAGTGCCTACTTCTCCGAATTTGAGATACATGAGACAAATATAAATACTACTGGAAATCTTTTCTGAATTCTGCAACACATAAGTAGCACACTTTAAAACTTACTCATACAATCCTAATTATGGAAGTGGTCACAAAATATTGGTTTGAGTTCATAATCTAAGTCTGAAACTATAGGCAAGGAAAAATGCTTGTTCCCAGTTTTCCCCTTCAATTTCTTAATCTTGGTAACTTGAAGATGAATGGATCTCAGTTCCCTGATTTCTCCAGCCATCCATTCTGGAGGTTGCCAATGTTGAGAAACGCTTCCTTAAGAAGAAACAAAAATAAAAGGTGCAATGGGTGGGAAAAGGGGTTTTGGTATCTTATATTTCTGTTTCTGGTGTTCCTTTTTTTAGCTGAAAGACAACAAAGTTTTTGATGTACCTGTTGCTGTCATTGCAGGAAACAGACCTAACTACCTGTACAGGTGAGAGAGGGTTAGTAGAAACAAAGTAATTGCTACAAAATATTAAGCGGAGAATTCATATTTCTTGCCTGCCTAGTTTCTGTTGGAACATAATCTCTAGTTCCCAAATAATGTGTTCTTGATTTTGTCCCTCTAAACCATGGGTGTCAAACTGGCGGCCAGATGCACCGGCCAGATGCATCATACACAGGCCATGCCTGCCCCAGCTCCGCAAAGGGGGGAAATGTTGCAATATGTTACGTGATGGCAACATGACCCTGCGAGTTTGACACCTATGCTCTAAACCAGGGGTAGTCAACCTTTTTATACCGCCCACTTTTATATCTCTGTTAGTAGTAAAGTTTTCTCTAACCACCCACTGCTTCCACAGTAATGGTGATTTATAAAGTAGGGGACAAAACCCCTACCACCCACCATGAAGGCTGGAACACCCACTAGTGGGCGGTAGGGACCAGGTTGACTACCACTGCTCTAAACAAACAAAGTCTTCTATCCCAAAAGGAAGGGAGAAGGAAAGCACATAGTTGACACATCCAGAGTCAGCTGGAAGATTTCACCTATAATAGAACAAAAGTGTAAATCTGAGATCTGGTAAATCTTATCCTTTGTTTATTTGTAAACAATTTATATTCTAAACAGTCAACTCTGAGTGGCATACAATACTTAATTTGAGATTAACATGAACAAAAGTTAGTCAAGTTTATATCAGTAATGCTGAAGTATTAATCTAATATTAGATATATATTCTATGAATACATTAAAAAGCTTTTTGGGTATCACAGCAAATATGTTAACCCTTCTCTCTTTAGGATGCTGCGGTCTCTTCTGTCAGCACAAGGGGTCAATCCTCAGATGATAACAGTTTTTATTGATGGATATTATGAGGTAAGTCGTAGATGTACTTCTACTTTGGAGGTGTGTAACTTTGGGGGGTCCAGTTACAGAACTTTGGGTGGCCTTTGGGTGAGATTCTTTACACCAAAGAGTTTGTGAGGCCAGGAAAAATTCTTAAATTTAAATGTAAATTTAAATTGCTCCCGTACTATATTCTCTTTATGAAAGAATTCACTTCACTGAGAACTTTTAAAAAGGCTCTCAAGATAAATGCAGTGCCTGTAAGTGACTAGGATATACATTCAGCCTTCCTTCACTAATCACTTTTCATATTGTTACTGTGCGAGATAGGAACTTTAGGAGACCCATCGTTATCTGAGCATTGCAAATATATTTTGCCTAAAAACACTGAGGAGATTTTGTTTGATCTGTGCCTTATATTATTAATATTACTACTTTCCTTTGTGTTTTGTCATGAAATTTCTTCTGGAGGTAGTAGTAGTATTTACTAACTGGTATGCTTCAACTCATACTTAGGTTTGTTGGTCTATAGAGCAGAGCTGTTTTTCTTCCTGAAAAGGAATACCTCTATTCACATGGTAGATATTCCTTTGCAGAGTTGTTTTGTTGCCATAGCAACTGTGTCACTCAGCTATAGAAGGACAGCATGAAAGCAAGCCTTTAAGAGATATAATGATTCAGTTTTATGCTTATGAGAAAATAAATGGATTGGTTTTTTTTATAGATGAGAAACTTCTAGATACAAAGCCTTGGGATCCTTGTTGATTTTAGAAATCAATCTTAACTAGATCCCTCAGCAATTGACCAGATCTATAATAAGATTGACACCACTTAACTACTGAGATATTTAATTGTAAATTGTATTTATGGTGAAACAAAACTATGAGTCATACCCCTTTTTCAAAGACTATTTCAGGTGCTTTGTTCAGCCCAATATCTGCCATTGGCTATCCATATAACACAGTCTACTCTCTTTGAAACTGTGATATAACTACTTAATAAAATGCAAATGTAATATATATTCTGATCTGCTTTTGTTTTTCTCTGAACAAAATGAACAACTTGTATTCCGTGTGCAAATGAAGAGCCTTCGGTATTTGGCACTGAAGAAGCATATCATAAAAACATATTATGACTATAATAATATATGCCAATGTGCCATTTTAAAAAGATAAGAAACTTTATGTACAGAAATTTGGATGATTTTTTAGAAGCAGACAATAATTGTTCATTAGGTACATGAAGTTATGCATCTTGGGTTGAGGATCTGAGTTCTAAGATACGTAGGTCAGGAACACATTTTGAAAACCTGGGGATCAGAATGGGCAGAACACTAATACAAAAGTAAGAATTGTGCACAGCTTTCACTTCATGTATCTCCTGCCTCAAAACAGTGATAAATTATGATTATTAAGCATTAATAGTTTCAAAACGCACTGAGGACTAAAATTAAAAAGCTATAGGTTGCTATACGAGGCCATAGGTTGTTTACCCCATTCTAAAAAAAAATCCTGTTCAGTCTCGGAAACCTCTAAAATAGAAGGTATGTATAAACCTGGAAGATGCAAACGAATGTGCACAGTTCAGAAAATCATCTTTACCACACACATTTCCTTCTTTTCCAGGAGCCAATGGATGTAGTTGAATTATTTGGCCTGAAGGGAATCCAGCACACACCCATCAGCATTAAAAATGCAAGAGTCTCTCAGGTGCGTGGCTCATTTCGTTGCCTTGGGTGCTGCTTCCATTAAACCATGAACTCCATTAGAAATCCTATTCTGTACTTGTTATCCTCCAGACTAATTTGTGGTGGATGAGCTCAAGCACGAGCCTTGGCTCTCCATTGGCACTTTGAACTTGAATATGCAGCTTTGTGTGCTATTAGAAATGCAGGGTATGTATAATTCTTTGAGGCACAAATGAAGCCTAGAGAGAAAGATGGGTGGTCCGGATGTTCTAAAAAGTAGCTTTTCAGTAATGATTCTCTATTAGTATCACCATATTTATAAGAATACACAGATTTCGAGAAAGGCCCCATTCTTACTGCTTCTTTTGTCCCCAAATAGCATTACAAGGCCAGTTTGACCGCAACATTCAACTTGCATCCGGTATGTCAGCTCTTCTATTTTTGCCAGCCTAGAGAGGATTATTCATTTAGGAAAATTCTGCTTTGGAATATGCTCTTCTATGTAACTACTGAGAGTTTTAATTAATTAAAGGAATTATAGTATTAAGCATCTAATGCAAACCTGGAAGTTGCAGAAGCTGTTTTACTTAAACATAACATGATGGCAAATATTCGTAATGCCATGCTTTTTAGAAATATGGGTTTTGATGATTTTGGTCAGAGGTCTCCAAACTTGGCAACTTTAAGACTTGTGGACTTCAACTTTAAGTCCACAAGTCTTAAAGTTGCTAAGTTTGGGGACCCCTGATTTAGGTGGCACTGAAAATGGAATGTTCTTATGTTTTGGTGAAGGTAATACATTGCTGGATTGTCAGCTTTCCAAAAATTCTTATTCTGAGTGAGAATATGTATATAGGTTTGAAGCACTATGGGTTCCCTTCTATCCTGATTATTTTGTAGGATGCAAAGTTTGCTGTGGTATTGGAAGAAGACTTGGACATTTCCATCGATTTCTTCAGGTATTAATTGAATTCATTTTCTACCTTGCTCCTATTTTGTTTTGACAGCAAAGATTTGCAGCTAGGTCTTGATACCTTTTCTGCCAGTGTGGCTGACCAGTTTTAGATGATTGTATTCATCGACAATGGAAGTATAATTCCATTGCAAGGGAAATACTGTAGGATGAGAGGTTCTCCATCAAGCCCAGCAGAAGAAATTCTGATGGTCAGGAAAGATAACTTAGATCACAGTAGGCAAGCTGATTCAGAAAAAGTCATTTCACTGAGAAGTATGCATTAGCATTTTAACACAGAATGAGTCTTTAGATCTTAGACAAAATGTCTGCCTCTGTTTGAAGCTTGTTCAGTATCCCATTTTCCAATCCTTATACCCAAAATGAGAACATATTTAGCTCAGGTAACTCATCCCTGTCCTTAGTTTTTCTAGTGCTTCATTGACTTTGTTCCAAGCAATCTCCTTTTTAAAAGAATCTTAAGCAATTCACAGCATCCCTTTCATAAATCAAATCAGTGTCAGCTTGTTCTTTGAAATTTTTCTCCATTTTCTTAGCTTTCTAAGCCAGTCTATCTATTTGCTGGAAGAAGATGACAGCTTGTATTGCATCTCTGCTTGGAATGACCAGGTTAGTCATTTGTTACCCTGATCCTCCCTCTTAATCACATTTCACCTCATTCCCCCAAACTTGCATGAAGGACTTTGTATAACGAATTACCTGCTTGGGAAGATTTCTTCAATCTTTCTCTTTTGTTAATTAGGGATATGAACATACCGCTGAGGACCCTTCACTTCTGTATCGTGTAGAGACCATGCCAGGCCTGGGCTGGGTGCTAAGAAAGACTCTGTATAAGGATGAATTGGAACCCAAGTGGCCAACACCAGAGAAGGTCAGTCTGTTTTCACAGGTAGTTTTTCCTTACTGGATTGAGTGTGTGTGTGTCTGTGTGTGTGTGTTAGGTTGATGGCCAGTTTTGAATTACTACCATCTGGTATTCAAAATGAGTTAATGATTGTATCATTGGGATTATGCGATACTCTTCTAGCATATTCTTTCTAACTTTACAATTTCCAAATAAGTAAACGCGGCATTCTTACTAACAACCCTGTTGGCTAAGGCTAAGCAATTCTACAAGATGAAATCCATATGCTGTATCTAAAGTGCAACCCAGGTTCAGGAAACCTGCTCCAACACTTCATTCAAAAAGCTTCCTTAATTGGGAAAAGTTAGAACCATTGGAAAGGTTTCATTATTATTATTTTATGCTTGTATACATAAATGCTGCTTTAAGATTTAAGCAGTCGTGAATTGTCCCTCAAATCATCTAGAGTTGTACAAAAAGAGTCAGGAAGAAAAATTTCAGAAGTTAGTACATCAAGGTTTCAGTAGAACAGAATAAAAGGAAGCCTTCCATCCTTCTGAGGTCACTAAAATGAGGACCCAGATTGTTGGGGGCAATATGCTGACTCTGTAAACCACTTAGGGAGAGCTATAAAGCACTGGGAAGCAGTATATAAGTCTAAGTACAATTGCTATTGCTATTAAAATAACTGGCTTCATGATAGTTATTTAAAAAACCTGCTGCTTTAATAATAATAGTAAGCTAATGTATCGGCCTCTTCTAATCTGAAGTCTTCCAAATACATTGAATTCCATTTCTAATCATTTCTAAGCACTATGCTCAAAAGGGAACAGATTTGGAGGACCTAGGCTGAGAAAGGCAGATTTAGTTTCTTCTTCTAAAGAAACACTTCATAAAGGCAAGCATTGGCAAGCTGTTGCTGTGCCTCTATCTACCATCTGCTTAGAAATCTTTTTACTGATTGGACTTGGAAAAGCAATTGGGAATGCTCAATACAGATCTAACAATTAACGTACTTAAATAACACTTGGTCATGCATGCTTGTGTATTTTCTATCAACTTCACATCATTCCCAACTGTTCTTGCAATCTAAATATCACAGTGAGAACATGCAAGTGTTTTTTAAAAATGTGGGATATACAAGAACAACAAAAGCATTACAAGAGAGAGGAAATGCATTTTTGAAGCATTCAGGTTTTACTCAAGTAATAAGCTCACCGACTTGCCATTTTCTCCCATTTATCAGTTTATAATGTAGCATACAAAGAAAATACAAAAGTAAAGAATAGGAAAAGGGAAAGAAAAGGGGAAAAAGAAAGAAAAGGCATTGACTTGCCATTTTCTAACTGTAACAAACTCAAGGCCTGTAGGCCGCATCCAGCCTATGAGGTGCTTAGATCTGGCCGGCAGGGCTGCCTTGGAAACAGCAAAGGACTGGCCCATGGTGCCTCTGCCAGTGAAAATGGACCACCTCTGCTAGCCAAAATGGAGCTTGGGGAGGGGGGAGATGACAACGATGCACTGGCAGAGGGCTAGCAAAACAAATGAAAGGAGAAGCATGCAAGAAGGGACAGGAAAAGAGAAAGGGAAAGAAGAAAGACAAAGAAAAAGAAGGAAAGAGGGGAGGGAAGAAGAAAGAATGAAGAGGGAAGGAAAAAGAAGAAAAGGAAGGGGAGGGGAAGGGAGGGGTGGGGAGGGAGGGAGGAAGGAAGGAAGGAGATTGTGAGGGAGGATCTGAGGGAAGTCCTGCCTTAGCACTTTGCCACCACAGGTGCCCCCAACATGAGTGACTTTGAACTGGCCACATCCATCCCGCCCCCTGCCCTCCCAAGGTCAAACACAACCTTTATGTGGCCCTCAATGAAATCGAGCTTAACACCCCTGCTCTATAATTTCCAGATTATTTTTTTTAAATCAAGTATCATTATGTGACTAGCAAATGCCTAAACTAATGCTATATAATTGCGTTAGTCAGGGATTCTAAAAAAGCCTGACTTCTAATGCCAAAAAAAGTAACTGAAATCGACCACAACAAAACATATTCCCATTTTGTCCAGATTTTATGCTTATGTATAAAGTATATGTTGGAACAGAAATCTCTTGAGCACTAGTGCCAGGATACATTCCATTTTAAAAACTGAGTAATAATAAGAGCCACATCTGAAACTTGGGCTGAGTTATCTTTCGTTTCAGAGCTTCAGTTAAGCATTACAAATACTTATGCTGGCTGCAGTAAAATAAGTTGCTCTTCTCTGTGTTGTATTTTGCTTGTTTTGTTCTCTCAGCTTTGGGACTGGGACATGTGGATGCGCATGCCGGAACAGCGGAAAGGCCGTGAATGCCTCATCCCAGACGTGTCCCGTTCATATCACTTTGGCATTGTTGGCCTCAACATGAATGGCTATTTCCACGTGAGTCACCCTGCTATAAACTCAAATGCAGAAATAGTAGCTCCTGTTCGTTATCCTTATTTATTCACAAAATAGCCTGTGTAGGTATTGAGAGGTGTGATGACCTGGGGCGTGGCACAAAAGCAACAAAGTCGCAAAAATAGGTAAAGTCCCTTTAATACCTCCAACTTGGCCCCCAATGTCCAGTTATCATTGGCTGGAGAAAAAAACTCTCCCAAGAACAGTTTTTAAAGAGAAGAAATTCCATCCGAACCTAATTTCCAGATTATTTTTTTAAAATCAAGTATCATTACATATAAATTATAAATAAAAACCAACACAAACCACGCTGCAGCAATTAATGAGACTGGGCAGGATAAAGAATTGAAGACTTCAAAAGATAATGAAACACACACAGTTGGGAGGATGCCAGAACTCGGATAAGACTTGACAAACCAAAATAATTCACGCTTTGCTTCCATCAAGGAGCTGTGCGCAAACAACCTCTTTATCCTGTTTTCCCAGCTGCAGCTAATGAAGGGAATCAGGGCCTTTTTCTCCCCTGTCACCCATGTTGCTCCCTTTTCTGTTCCCTGTGTGCCCTAAGATGAAGAGGGGGTGGGTCTGGGTCTTCCTCTGAAGGAAGACCCAGGTCTTCTTCTCCAGTTTCCTCCACAGCCACCGGAGCCACACTCCCGCTCCCTGTCAGCTGTTCCACCTCTCCCTCTAAATCAGATTCCAACAGAGGCGTGACAAGAGGTTTCAGTTGGAGAAGAAGCACAGTGAGCTTGTTCAGTGTCACGTGCTTCTTTGCCTTTGAGACAATGTCTACCGATGACAGCCTAATTTTGGAAGGAGGAGAAGCTGATATTTTAATAGTCTATGCTAATCTCCCATATTAGTATTCAAAGACCATTATAAGTGAATGCAACTTCTCTGGATGGGCAAAGTACATTTTAAAGCTTCATCCTCTGGGACTGAAGCAGAAGACACCCTCCTGCTTGTGAGCACTCAAAAGAGAATTGAGTAACTGTTTTAGGTAATAGAATAGAGGGCTGGACTAACTATGAATTGACCCAGGAAAGCAATCAATAACGTCTTCGGTTGATTTATTCCTTAATCCCAATGTTTGCAATTTGTCCTTTTAGTCAGACATTGATAAGCAAAACTCAGCTATTTGTTCACTAAGTACAGCTCTCCCCAATGCTTGCTTTTAGCATTATCTATTAAACAAATGAGATGGTTCAGCTGTAGTTGTTTTTCTTAGACAATGATGGAAAATATTTTCTTTGCAAATTGTTGAATGCAACAGCAGTATCCATGGCACTCTCCCTGCTGTACTTCAGAAGAAAAAGTGGAAGGCTAGGGTAAATGATACTCGAAACCACCTTTATTTTCCCCCATTCATATTTTTCTAGGAAGCCTATTTCAAAAAGCACAAGTTCAACACGGTCCCCAATGTACAGCTTAAGAATGTGGAGAGGTAAGTTCAGTACATAGAGAATATGAACAAGCATATAACATGGATGCCTTCTGATCTGAGCATAAGCTTTCTTGTGTAGGCAACTCACTAATATGAATGTCACCATTTCAGAGTACTTTAGGAACATGAGCAAATCAAGATCAACCTAACATAATACTCTTGACAGGAAACCCTATTCAGGATGGAAATTAGATTCCCTTACTACTATTTTCAGACAGCAAGGATTTGGATTAATGGAGGGACTATTTACTAATGCCCAACCAAGGTAGACTTGTAAATTATAATTCAGTGGTTGACTCTTGGCAGCTTCTGGTTTGGTTCAAAAAATATGCACTTATAAATATTCCATATCAGTTCATGAGCACAAAGAACAAGAAGAGACATTGGAATAAAAATAGAAGGGCAGACATGTAAGTGCAACTAGTTTGGTGCAGCTGGTTAATGGTTTAATAGGGGCTTCCATGTGCAGGGGGAAAACATTTTGTCATGGAAAACGGAGTACATACATACATACATACATACATACATAACACTTCAAATTGTATATCACATTTGAGCAACAGCCTGCTGACTATAAAATGCCTTTACAGAAAAGAATGGAGTGGAAGATTTGGGACTAACCATACCTGCCTTAGTAACTGCGGCATTTACTGGGCTTGTATATCTCTGCAGGCATTATCTGCCATTCCCTGGATTATTATTTGAGCCCTATATCAACACACACACCCATACACATAGACATATCAATGTCTGTAGATTCTGACTTTTCTCTATTGCTAAGGAATTTTTGGAAAGTGGGAGCAAACGCTGAGGCCTCTGGGCAACAATTCAGTAGAACTTCAGCAGCAAAATGGCTGAAGTTTAGCAGCCTATTTTAGGCGATGTTTTGGAGATCGGCCGGAAGTTAAGGATGGAAATAAGAGGAGTCTTCCTGCGCATCGCCCCACTTGCCACTTCACTGTTTATTTTGAGAGGAAAGGATGTGGAGATAGGAGAAGACACAAATCAGCCATTTTGACACCCTCTTTTTGTGACACAGTTTTAAGAGTATGCAAAATATTCCATCCGCCTATAGAGTATAAAGCAATTCAGTTTTGGTTCTGATTTTTTATTTCTCTTTCTACTGTACAGTTTAAAGAAAGATGCATATGAAATTGAACTTCATCGTCTGCTCAGGTACCTTATGTGTTAAACAACAGATCACTAAAACTGATAGAGAGGTGGATGTCTTATATGGCCTGATCTAATGTGCAAAATGTTGGGACTGGAATTATGAAATGCTAGCAAATGCCTGAAAGGTGATTCAGAAGTGCATTGTGGCCAATTTGGCAACTAGCATATTTTTTTAAAAAAATGATTTTGAAATAAGAAAGGAATTTTATTATCTCTCCAAGCCAGTTAATATTTTTTGGGTTGCATGTTCCTGTTTTGTATCTTTAATGTGGCACTTGCTTCATATTGTGGACTTTTCTGTCTGCTTGCCCTCTCTGATCTTGCCTTATTTTCTCCCACTTCTTCAGCGAGGCCGAAGTCCTAGATCATAGCAAAAATCCTTGTGAGGATTCTTTTGTCCCAGACACTGAAGGAAAAACCTACGTGATGTACATAAAGATGGAGCAGGAGGCAGATTTCACTACTTGGACTCAACTTGCCAAGGTATTTTTCAGACACGTGGACAGACAGACAGACAGACAACCTACTTAGTAAAATATCTTATTTCGATATGAAAGTTGAAAAAAGTGTTAAAATAAATCAGTATAAGTGTCATATTGTTATATAGTCATTAACTGCTTTAGACAGCATGGTTTAACACAGTGGTCACCAAACAGTGGGCTGGGGACCACTGGTGGTCCGCGAGAAAATGTTGGTGGTCCCCAAAGAAATTTCCCTCCCAAAGCACTCCCCCCAAAGCAACTAATCCAGGCTGCACAGGAACACAAGGCTGTGCCACCCACATGGCCCACGCACCCGCTGGCCCCCATCCTTCGGCCGAGTGCAAACCTTACCTTGAGTAGAGACACACGAGCTAGAACTGGAAGATAAGACCAACAGCATGGGAGGGAAATCCGTCCCGGCTTGCTGACATTGGTGAAAAGTCGATCCCATATTCCAGAGCTGCAGTAGTCACAAGACTGGCCCTTTAGTCATCCCAGAGCAGCTCCTCCAGTCCATGGCAGGCCGGTGCACCCAGGTGGAGGAGCAGCTGCTCCGGGTTGACCAAAGGGCCAGTCCTGTGACTACTGCAGCTCTGGAATATGGCACTGACTTTCCCACCAATGTCAGCAAGCCACCGTCAGTCAAAATTCATATTAGTGGTCCGTGGGATTTAAAATTATGAGTTTGGTGGTCCCTGAGGTCCAAAAGGTTGGCGACCCCTGATTTAACATATATATAATAAGCTAATTAAAAAGCAGTAACTTCTGTCTGACTTGGAAATCTTAATGATTTTAGCAGACCATCAAAAGGAGAAAAAGCTAAATGTTAAAAGTTTATCTTAGGAGAAAATGAACTTGAGGTGTAATACAAATCTGTGTACAAAATTTTAATCCAACAATAGCTCCCACATTCAGTTATATTTTCTATCAGATTTATTTTTTTAAAAGAAACTTGGTTTTAACATTGATTCATACACCCATAGAGTTATTTACCATTCTGTTACAGAAGGAATTCTTTCCTTTCCTAATTTACCTAATATTTGCTTTTGTATTCTTTTTGCATGTCAGATTATAAATTAATAAGACTATGAGAATCAGAGAAGGAATTATGTGTACTTTCCATAAAAAAAGTATGGAATATTCTAGTAACTGTTGCCATGCACAAATCTAATTCATTTTGTAGGAATATTTGGTTTAATAATTGGTAAAAAGATAACAGGATTAAAAGATTAAAAAAAACACCCACCATTAAAGCCTGTTTATTTTCCCCCTTTACTTCTTGCCATACCTGTGATAAGGTTGCAAAGGCATTCCTGTTCATATTTAGGCTGTACCATATTGCAAGCAGGCCATGAAAGCTGCTTAGAAACACTCAACTGGTTTAGATTTTGAATCTTTAGTCCTATATTTCATTCAGTCTTGCTGTCAGACACTTATAATTTGTTTTTTTTTTTAGTGCCTCCACATTTGGGATCTGGATGTCCGGGGGAATCATAAAGGACTATGGCGGCTCTTTCGGAAAAAGAATCATTTCTTGGTTGTAGGAGTCCCTGCCTCTCCATATTCGTAAGTCATCTTTGTGTGTCACATTAGACTTTATGGTTGTATAAAACTTTTCTTTTTCCCGTCAGACTCTTAGGGGGAGATTATTTGGCTAGCCACCTTCTCTTTTGATGTTACACATGTTGTTCTTAAATAAAATATCAGATCAAATGATTTTTTCCCCCAAAGGGAATAATGGAGATATCTCCTGTTATGAGTAATTAGCCTCTGCCCATTACTTGGATATTTAATGGACTTAACCATATTTAACCGCCCTGGAGCTGGCGCCTCCAATGCGGAAGCAGTGGCACGTTATATGCCGCCACATTCAACACCACCGCTCCCCTGCCACCTCTTATCATCCCCAAGGAGGCTGGCAGAGGGGCACTAAGAGGCAGCAGGAAGGTGTGCGAGGCGCCGGCTGGCCCTGCAGTTTCACCCTTTACTTTTTGGAAAGCAGTGCCCAGTCTTCAATGGCTCAAGGTTGACTCAGCCTTCCATCCTTCCGAGGTCAGTAAAATGAGGTCCCAGAATGTTGGGGACAATATGGTGACTCTGTAAGCCGCTTAGAGAGGGCTGTAAAGCACTATGAAATGGTACATAAGTCTAAGTGCTATATTGCTTAAAAGCCTGATGTGAACCTTGGGCCAGCATAAATTTTGCACTCTTGCAATTCTGTGAATCGTAATGATTGTTCAGAAGATCTAGAGATATGAAGACATTTAAACTGAGGATGAGAGAGTCATAGGGACAACAGATTAGAAGAGTCACTTAGATGGGAATAGCAGAGCCTAATAAAAGCTCAGGAGGAAAAGGAAGGCCTCTACTGGATATAGCTTATTTGGTAGTGGATGGATGAAAAGTTCTATTGTGTATCTTCAGAATAGAACAACTATGAAAAGATAAGCAGGAAGGGGCAAATGCTAAAAGATGCCCTGCATTTTGGACATACAAAATATTCCAAACTCAGTCCCCATGTAAAAGCACTGGATACTTTATTAGTTGGATATTATGGAAGACTGGTACAAATCAGACAGCACTAGATTAGATGGATGTATTGCAATCCACTTTATCCAACTTGCATTTCCCCTAACCTCAGTCATTGACTGATATCTTAGAATTCTAAAGTTGAGACTTGGTGCTTCTAGAAAACAGTGGATGAGAAAACTCTGTAATACTTAGCCCCTTGAGACAGTATTATATATTGTGTTACTCATCCTGTTGAATGTAAACTTTCCACCTCCCTTTCTGTACTGGTAATTCCAGACCAATTTCCTTTTTCCCTAGATTCAAAAAACCTCCTTCGGTGACCCCAATCTACATGGAACCCCCAGCCAAGGATGAGGCAGCAGGAGCAGAGCAAACATGAAGCAAAGCATGGAGCGTTGACCATATTGCCTTCATAGCCTTCAGGATAGGAGGGCAGAGGAACACTTAGAACTCTCTGGGACTGGCTTTTCTCTGGAAGTCTTGAGAAGTAGGACAAGCCAAAGGGAGCTCTCCCCAGCCCCCATCCTCAGGCTGCTACTGAGAGAGGATAAATTGCCTTGGAAGAACAGGCGTCTTTAATATTTTTCTAAGCCACTGAAACAATGCAGTTGTCTCATTTTTAATATTGATGCTTTACTAATTGTGGGCCACTATTTCCCCAAATTGGGGTTGGGCCTAAGGGAGCTGATTGAAAGGGATTGAGTCCCTTTGGAAGCTCTCTCCACATTGTTATATATATATATATATATATATATGTATGTGTATATGTACACATATGTACACATATATATTAATTTATTAGTTTGCTGCAGTGGTCAGCCACCTTCTAAAGGCTGTTTTCTTGCTTTATATTTCTGCTGGTTTTTGAGGTGAGTCACAATGATGGGAAATGTCTCTGGAAAGCATATGGGGCTGTACCTTAAACCCACATACCACCGCCTGGCTAGTGACTTTATGACCAGTGATTCACATGCACACAAAGAAGAGTTTTGTGACCTTGGCTTCGTGATCAAAGGATGCAAGCTGCAAAAGAACTGCATGTATTTACTGTGTATTGAATGTCCTGATCACTTGGTCTCAGAATTCCCTTTTTTCCTCTCTCATCCTCTCCTCCCATTGGGCAGAGATGGCAATGAAAGGTGATCCCTTTCAAAGTTATGGATGCTAGGTTCCCAGTGGATCTGCCTGGATTCAGCTAAGGCAGTTGGTCTTGGCTGAAATACCTGAAAAGATATAGGCTATATGGTTTGGTCATTTCCATAAAATGCCTGCAGGAAGAGCTAAGCAGAGTAAAGAAGAAAAGTGCCTTGAGCAAGCATGTGCTGGCCTGGGAAGTGTATCAGGGTGCAGAAGTAGTAAATGAATCAGATTAAATCTTACTTGGGAGTGAGGCTGGTCTGTAGGTTTCTGAAAATTGAACTCAGAAGTAGCCAGCCATCATGGGGTCTTTCTACCACTAATTATGACTCCATGTGCTCTCTCTCCTGTGATATAAACTGACTCCTCTCCTGTTAAATGTGAGGTGCAGGTACTAAAGGATTTTGCCCCCAAAGGAAAATCCAAAGGGACTTGTATGCACTGGGGAAAGTTTTGATACTAAGTCCTAACAAAGGGCAACTCGGGGCTCTACTAGATAGATAATCAGAGGTGAAAGGGTGTGGGGAGAGAGAGGAAGCAGCAATTCAGGGATAAAGAGGAAATCATGATTTCCTCTTGGATATCCTGTGCCTTATGGGGAAGAGGGGAGGTTTAGGTCTCAAATATGACTCTCAATATGTTCACACCATGAATAGATTAAGGGGAAAGGAAAGGAGCATTTCCCCTCAAGGGAACAGCTAGATTCTACTTTTGAGACCACCTTTCCTTCGTTTGTTGAGTTACCTCTTTGTGTTTTCCTCTTTTTCCTCACTGTCCTCCAAACTTGTCCGATACCAGTATGAGTTATAGAGCAAATATCTTTTTCTGCCCATAAGGCAGCTTGAAAACTTCTTGAAGTATCTTGTTTTGATTAGTTAGCTAATGCAAATTTCTCCTTGAAACCCAGGCTCCTGCTTATTTGAGAGCTCAAGGGTTTCTGTGCTTGAATGAGGCTTCAAGTAGAACATATGACCTAACACTTTCCTAAATCCTATATTTGCTGAGGTCACCGGTCTGCTGCATCACTAAGGTTTTCATTGGCAAAGTAGAGAATAGTTCATGCGAGGATTTCCACCAACAAAAATTGTGGTCCTCTTGGCACTATCAGTCTTGTGTAAAGATGGTGGTCTTCCATTTGCAGGATAAATTGCAAACTCCAATGTGGGAGTACAACAGTGCTGTTTTTGCTCTGCCTTGACTTCATTTCCTGCCCTGTTATATGAAGAAAGAAACATAGAAGAGACATAACTTACTAGGATTCCTGAAAGGGATGTCGTTATGTGTGTTTTAAGTATGCAAATGTGCATAAGAAAAAAAAATGTTCTGTGCAAATGCAGGTTTATGAAATAGCTCTCATTCTGAAGCCAGTTGCACTTTGGCCGTTTTGTGGAACTTGGCATAGAACTTCCTTTTTGGACTCATGTAGTCTCCCAAAGCGGAGAATATTAAGTAGCTGGTTCTGTTAATGGGGAGTAACTTCTAAATTCGGGGCTGAGAAGTCAACAACTTGAACTTACACTTTTTAGAAGCCTGTTGTGTTTTTCCCCTTGTTTATTTAGCCCCTGGGATTGATGAAAACAATCCAGTTCCCTGATCTATATTCAACCCTTAATACTGGTGATAGAGAGACGATCCTAAAGGCTATTTTCGGGGCGGGGCGGGCAGGAGGAGCAGGAAGAGGTTTAATAGATTTGCTACCAAGTGAATATCGATTAATGCACGGCCCCCTTCTATTTGAAGGTGTAAATTCAGATTTAATATTAGGGTGTTCAAAATCCTTGATTTTGAAAGATGGAGTAGGCTACATTTGGTGCAGGGGAGGGAATTCAGGAACAGACTTCTGGCCAGTGCTAATCATTAATGTGTTGCGTTGTCCCTTCCTTCACAGCTCTGATGTCCATTGTCCCTTAAATCCTTGGTAGGGAAGAGCACATGCCACTTCCCTCTGTTGCAGTTTCATAGTAGAAAGGCCATTCTTGCAAACCTAGAAGCCCTGCTCACTTCATATAATACTTCAGTTAAAGTGGTGGAGGCCCTTACGCTTACAAGGTCCATCCCTTTCAGAACTGCATTTTCTGTACAGTGATGCAAGGTTACTTTGTTAATACAGAACTTCTCATCAAGGCCAATTCAGCCTTGAAGGTAAAGGCAAAAGTCTAGAGATCCATAAATGCCTAGCTCTTCATTCATCAAAAGGCAGTTGGAGTGTATTAAAGAAAATTATTTGCCCCTGCTAAGCCTGTGTAGCCAAGAAGGAACAATTGACAGCAGGGGAAGAAAATGGCAAGAATATGTTTATGCCAATTTTATTTTCCTTTCATCTAATTGTTTTTTTTAAAAAAATCTCAGAATTGTTCTTTTTCTTACCAAAAATGCATCTTTGTAAAATTCCCTGAAAATGTTTACACCTGATGCTTCTGTTATATCAATGTACGGTTTGGAGAAAAAAGAGCAGTATTCATCATCTGGATTAAAATGAGATTTTTTTGGTCCTCATCAAACAACAAATAAATCTAGGGGATCTGATATGTCCAGTGACATTCTTTACAGAAAATGGCAGGTTGAAGTTCTCTCCAGCTAGTTCCTTGTGCTTATACACTCATTCTGGTTAGCCACTCTTGAAGACAGGCTACTAGGTGAAATCAATTTTATGAGCACTGATTATTTAGCTCCTTAAAACAATTGGGGTGTGTGTGTGTAGAGTGAAATAAGCAATTGATTGCCCTTTTTGAGATTTTGTTTAAATTTTAACTGTGGCAAAACACCTAGCAGTTTTCCGGCATGCCTAAAACATTAGGATATATTCAGATATTGCTGGATTGATGGTCATTTTGTATAAGATCTTGTGGCCTACACTACTTATCAGAATGCAGGTCCAATCTCCCCCCATTCACGATACAATTATGCTTGGCTCCATACTTGGAACATCAAAACTGGTGTTATGGTCCTCTGAGTAGATTCCATTTTGGGTAGACTTACTCTTGCTGCCCTTTTTTCTATTGTCGATCTCTCTCTCTCTCTCTCTCTCTCTCTCTCTCTCTCTCTCTCTCTCTCCCTCTCCCTCTCCCTCTCCCTCTCCCTCTCCCTCTCCCTCTCCCTCCCTTCCCCTTTCCATTTCTCTTTCCCTCTCTCCTTTATTTTCCCCTTTCTATTGTTCAACTTAAGCAAAGTATACCTTTGTGGCCTGAATGCTCCTGGTTTGTGGGGAGGCATCTCTTCTTGCATGCAGTCAGAGAGGGAAGAGAGGTTGAGTGAAACTGAGCTGGCTGCTTTGGGGGATCTCATGTGCCTGTGTTTTCCAAAAAATAAAGATGGCAGAATTGTTGCATCTCCTGTCTTTTACATCTCTGTGCATCGTGATGTCCCTTCCTGCAAATAAAGGCTGTCCCTTTTTAGTAGGCGTGGCATAGATTGTCATTTCATCCTGAGCAACTTTGACAAAAGTGTTGTGTTCTCCACTCACTTATCCTCTCGGGTCTTCAAAAGGCACAAACAATAAATTCTGTCCTGGGGTTTACAGAAGTTTTCTAAATTGATCATCCGCAAACACTACAGTTAGTCCTCAACTTACAGCAGTTAGTGACAATTCAAAGTTACAACTGCACTGGGAAAAAATGTCTTATTTTTTAAAATAGTTTTTCACACTTAACAACCGTTGCAGCATCCCCATTGTCATGTGATCAACAATCAGATGCTTGGCAACTGACTCACATTTATGATGGTTGCAGGGGTCACATTTATGATGGTTGCAGGCAGGGGTGGGATACGACAGGGTTAACTACCGGTTCGGTGATTTATGAAGTGCTTCCCTGCACACTGCGTGTGTGTGTGTAAATCTTCATCAGCTTGCTGCCTGGGCAGCTGAGCAGCACTGCTTGCAGGGAAGCAGCGTTTGAAAAAGCACTTTTTTTCCTGCTTTTTCAACCGCAGCTATGCCTCTCATGGCAGCTGAGGTTGAAAAAGCAGGAAATAAAGGTCAGGTAAGAGCCCAGGTGGGCCAAAACAGCAGCAGACATAGAACCGGTTGTATGTCTGCTGCTCTTCAGAGCTACCGGTTCTACACAACCGGTAGAATCCCACCCCTGGTTTCAGGGGTCACCTTTTGCAACCTTCCAGCAAGCAAAGTCAAATGGGAAAGCTAGACTCACTTAACAACCGTGTTACTAACTTAAACACTGCAATGATTCATTTAACAGCCGTGGCCTGAAAGATTGTAAAATGCGGCATATTCACTTACCTGTCTCGCTTAACAAACAGAAATTTGGGGCTCAATTGATGTCGTAAGTCAAGGACTACCTGTACTTAGTCCAATCAGGTACTGAACGTCAATAATGTTATTCAAGGTGGGGCTACCCATTTTGTTTCTGTTTTTTCATCTTTTCCCCCCACCAGACATTTTGCTCTGTAGTGCCAAATAAAAGAACTAATACGTAGAACCACTAGAGGTCCCCAGCTCTTCATAAGCTCCAAAGGGGCAAGGTGTTTTTAAGCACTGGTACCTTTTGGAAATATAAATGAGCTGAGCTGAATCAAAAAAATATCAGTCTGTGGGCTTGTAAGGTGAATGATCTCACTATCACTTCCTCCAGGTAAGAGACAAATTAT